CCGTTTACTTGCTTCCCTGCATAACTGCAATGTTCAAAAATTTAAATGCAACGTCAATAGCCCTCTTCTTGAATTCCGTTCATCTTTTGTCCTTTCTTCAATCCTTGTGATACTCAGTTTTTTTTCTCTCACTTTCACTCCCTGTAACCTCCCACTTGATTACTCGTGGCATTTCCACCTTGCTTGAGGTGAAAAGATTAAAAAAGAAGGAAAGATATGACATGGCAGTTTAGTATTTTGTCTCCGATTAATTTTCATATCTTTTAATACTTTGTTTAGAATCTGGGCGACTTTTTTCTTGCTACTGATGCGCCTACCGTGTCACATTTCTCGTTGTCATTTACTGCATAACGCAGATAATTCAATTTCTGTCCCTTTTTGATTTTGACGTTATCAATTCACACAAGGGTTAGAATAAAGCTTTGCAAGTAAAATTAAACGTCCGAGGTAGTTGTTAAGAAAATATGTTACAACATTTTTTTTTTCAAAATGAAAACGGCCAACTATGAAAACCGTAATTTTACATATTCTCATATACTTTGCCTCGAACGTCAACCAGATGCACAAAATATTGGCGACCATTCCAAACACCGAGTACGTCTTTGAAAAATGTTTCAATGTACACGAATTAAAAAAAAGAAAAGAAGATGAACGCCAGAAGATGAACTGCTAATCAGGTGTGCTCGTTTAGACGATTTGGTTCATATTTATAAACACGTAAGCTAAAACCATTATCTCATTCTTTGGGATATATATATATATATATATATATATATATATGTGTGTGTGTGTGTGTGTGTGTGATTGAATAAATTACAGACATTATGTCTGCTAATTTTTAACAAAATCCGTTCATACTCAAGTACATTGATATTAAGGGTTACAGAAATGTGCTATAGCTGTTTAATTTTTTTTTATTTTCATTTTCAAAGTAATTTCGAGCTTAATCCAAGATCATCTTCAGCGATGTAAAGTAATAAAAAACTATATGTTGTTCATTAATATAAGTATTTATACAAAGTTGTGAGTTGTTGTACATTACCTTAATGTTTTCATTATGCTTTTAAATGCAAAACGGTTGACAATGTGCTGAGCGTTCATTAGAACGTGAAAAAATTACCCATTATGGAATTTCTTCCTCTAGGTTAATTTCATAGTCACACGCGCATTTGAGTATATTTTATGTGGACTTGTCTTCCCAGACGTGCCATGTTCAAAATATGAACAGATGTTATTGTGTTTAAATGTTGCTACATTTATGAGAGAAGAGTGCGCAATAACACAACTAATCTCTCTCTCATTATATATATATATATATATATATATATATATATATATATATAATGTACAGCGAAAAACACATTAACGAATGCGCATATACATAGGCTAAAATGGACAGGTTGTTTCATGCTAAACGCAATCGTCAGGCCATGTCCAAACGACTGCGCTTAGCATGTAACAGCCTCTCGTATCTTGGTGTTCACTTCAATGTCGACTTTTTATATTTACATACGATCTATCCCCGGTATTGACTACCTTAATCCATAAATATTACATACCTTAAAACTATATATATATATATATATATATATATATATATATATATATAGAGAGAGAGAGAGAGACTGGTATTATATATTTCTAAATATGCAAAACTAACGTGTATAGAAATATGCGAAATTGATTAAAAAATCGTATTCATGTTGACAAAAATCAAGAGAATCAATCAACCTCTAGGATCGATTACTAATAAGATATTCTTGGTTAATGACCTTTTTCACATATCTGTCAATATTAAAAGCAATTCATTCCTTCCGACATCCCCCTACACACAAAAGTATATATGTACTGAAAATGTAGGTCGATTAATGTTTCACAAAACAAATGACCAAAGAGACAATCGTTGGATATAATTAGATACAAGGCATTTTACTGAACACATGATTTCGAATATTTTATTTTTAAAGGAAGTGAACTATGTTACTCGGCAGCGAAATGATGATTCACAAACGTTGTTCTTCAGCAATTTGAATTTGTTTGGTTTCAGATATTGCAAAAAAAGAACATTCAAATTGCAGACAGGGAAAAAATTTCAAGGATAAATAGTTTTTGAGAGAGAAAAACTGATTACTTATTTTTTTAAACGAAACCCTAAAATATATTAATAAAAATGGTGGCAAAGTAAGACTGAAGTAAAAAAAACCCCCAAAAAACAGGAAAGAGGAAAATTGTTCGCTAAATTTTGCTTCCAAGTGGAAATAAATATGCTTCATTTAGTTTGCTTCATGGTTTAGACAGTCGCTACATTTTGGTCGATATATCAGCCAAATAAATGATAAATAAAATACAAATAAAATTAAAACATTTCAATGTTGATTATAAAAGTTGAACGACAAGCCGTCACTACTTAAAAATTTGGCCCAGTTTCTTTGTACTTTGACGATTTGGATATTGTTTCTGAAAAATCATCAAATGAGGAAAATCTATTAAGGCCTGCTCGATATCTACGATAATTGCTGACATTACACATGTATATGAGAGGAGCTAAAAATGACTATTTCGAATGCTAATATTTGAAAAGTAGCAGACAATTTTTTTTCAATAATCTGGTGCTATATGATCTTTCTACCTCCATCCATTATACCACTTCACTTCGTTAGAAACTAAGATGCGCTAAAAAGTTATTTTTTTATGATATTTTAAGTAGCAATTTTAATATTTTCTTATATTTCTGCTCGAATTTAATGATCGATTGAAAGAATCGTTTGGCTAACAACTAAACGAAAGCACGATCTTTGATCAATGTACCAAATATATTTACGGTCCAAGTCTTAACATGAATAAACACAATGTCTCAAAAACCGAATAAAAACTTCTTACAACTGTGTTTAGATATGAATGTTTACACAGTCACGATGAAAGGTAAGTAAATATACAAGTAAATACATTGTTATTCGAATCGATACAGAGATTTACGTATAAATAATAGTATTTGAATTTTCTACAAGAACTACTGAATCAAAATCTTTATTCATGAAAATGAAGGAGTAATTTGAACGTTATTTATTAACGGGAAAATTCAGGATAAACGTTAATTCTATTTAAGAAACATTTCTAAAGAAGATACAGTAACAAAGCGTTATCACGAAATCAAAAATATATTTATTCGTAAATTGGATATTCTTTTATAAAGGATCGATAAAATTTGAGAGAAAAAGACTGCAATTGGCAATGGATTTCTCTCTATTCAAATATTTTTACTTTAATGTAAACAATTCATCGCACAGCACTCACATTTCAAGACACGTTTTGGTTATAAACATATATGAATGATATAGCGTATTTGGATTATTATTGAGGAATATGACAGTAGGCTCTATGCCAATAACAATTCTTCTGTCGGTATCAAAGAAAGGTTATTTTGATATGCAAGAGAATGTCTGAAATTATGAAAAGGAAAATAAAATAAAGCTACAAAATATTCTCACCTGTTGGTCTTCAATTTAATTTCTTTGAATTTGGCGCAATGTTGTCGGTACACGTCACTTCCGGTCCAGTACTAAACCGGAAACCGTGCGCTGTATTTAGAAAGATTTCCTCCAAATATATGAAAGAACTGTAAACAAACAGAAGTAAACGATCCGGAAGGCAACTTGGGTTTAAAATAAAGAAAAAAATAAGTCGGGCCGTATCCAACAGGAGGAAAAATTAATCCATTGGTAAGTCATCCATTTTGAAGTAAATCCGAACTGGTAATGATCCGTATTCGTTTGTATTTATTTCACAAAGTATTATATATATTCAGCACAGCTTTTATTTTGGTAGGTACTCCTTTCTTTTACTTCTCCACTGGGACGATTGGTGTAAGCTGGTGGCGAGCCTGCAAAAGATAAATCAAATTTGGGATGTTTAAACTATTTTTTTTTGTTTTTTAATGCGGCTCCTTTACGGAACGTTGTTAAACAGTGTACTGCACGAACACGAAAAATCACTTCAGCACGCCACGCGTATGTACAAAAAAAAAAAAAAAAAAAAAAAAAATAGAAAAAAAAAGAAAACCGTTTTCACCGCCATCATTCTCTCCCTTCCTTCTTTCTCCCTCTCTCTCTCTCACACACACACACACACACACACACACACACACAAAACAACGACAAAGCTGAAATAAAAATGAGAGGGTGGATATTGGTTGATTAGTTATTCGGTTGTTTGGTTTTCAGGGAGGGGGTATCGCCGAGTGGGTGGAAGGTAAGCGAGTATGGGGCGATTAGAGAGTGGGAAGTGGCAGGGTAAAAATGTGAAGATAAAATGCTGGCGGTAAATAAAAAAAAAAAATAATAAAAAAAATGAAACAACTGTAAAAAGAGAAAAATTACATAAAAAAAACTAACCAAAAAAATAAAAATGATTTTTAGGGAAGAGTGGGTTTTTAAAAAGTGAAATAAAAAAAAACAAAACAAAAACAAAAAGAATAAATGAATGAATAAAAGAATTCATAAGAGAAGTCTGGCAGACTTCCCATCTCGGAATGTGTGGTTGAAAATTGGTGGGGGTCAATAGACAAAAAGGCAAGCGGGCGTGGATATAATTCTGATACCCCCCATAAGAAAAAAATAATGGAGGTATGCAAAAATATGGAATGAAAAATCACCGCTAAAACAAAAAAAGTAAAATAAAAAAAAAAAAAAAATCTTAAATAGTGGCAATCTTAAAGAGAAACAGAAAAGGGGGAAAAAAGAACAAAATAAAAGAAAAAAGGAACAGAAGAAAATAAGAGAGATGGAAATAAAAAAGAAAGAAAGAAGAAAAAGCGAGAAGAAAATTAAAAAAAAAGAATCAGTAGATTTGATAACATACTTTAGCGCCAAACTCAACTTGTTAGATAAATGGAATGGAAAGTGATAAAGAAAACGAACGAAGAAAGAGAACTAAAGAGAGAGAGAGGAGAGATGGGCGAGAAGCCCGATTCATTCCGAATATGAACGTGACGGAGAATCAAGATGCTGATTTTTCACGGAGAATGGAAGATAAAAAGCAGACGAGTGAATGATGGGAAAAGCAGAGGAAAGAAGGCATTCTTTATTGGAGGCGATGCGCTTGCTGTTGCTATTGATTCTGAATCTGCATTTTTACGTTCATTTCTCCTCCCCTTGATTTCCTCCTTCTATTCTTTCTCTGCCTCTGCTTTACGCTCTCTTAGGAAGCCTGCCTTCACACTAAAACCGGTTCATTCTCCCTGTCTATCTTCATCTACGAGCTTTCCTTTTTTTGACTGCCTGATTGTCAAGTCTTTTATATGTTCTTTTGTCAGGGATTCACTTGTACAATCATCTTTTCACTATAGAATTCAGTGACAAGATTTTGCTACGTTTTGCTGATACTGTTAAGCTCACATTATTTTTCTTTCAAATTATTCATCATTGTTCTATTTATTTTCTTTATTCGTCTGTTTATTTCTTTGTCGTTTCGTATTCTTCTCTCCTCTTTTCTTCCTTTCCCGTTCCCCGCTTTTTTTTTCAGTGTTTTTCTTATTTCTTTATTGACATGCAGTCATCAAGATAAAGATAACAAAAATAGCATAATAAATGTTGATAAAATTAAAGAAACATAGTTGACGGGAGACGAAGTTTATACTAAAAATTTACTTTATTTATTTTGGTTTTTAGAGGAGGCGGACTGTTTCCCATACTATAATTATCTGGTATTATCAAAGAATGTACAGATGAGCTGTTGCTGGTAGCTGGAGCTCGTCTCGTGTGCGCGCACATCCAGCCAATGAAAAGCTTGCTAGAAGACAGGAAGATGGATTATTGAGCAAGTGCATCTCGGGAAGTCCTAAGAACTGGCATTTATGGGTGAAATGCTTATGGAGAAGGATGACGAACGTTCAGTCAAGTATGCGTGCACCAGAGTGAATCAATTTGCAACTTAATAAACGTGTACTTTACTCATACTTAATTGTGTAAACTCATGCCAAAAGAAGTTCTCTACCATATGATCAGGGGGACATGCCCGACTATTCGTCAAGCATTTATCATTTCGTGATATGTTTCCGATCCAAAAATACAGGGAGATTGCTTTAGATTGCTCGAGCCTCGCATAACTGATAACGGTGGTTATTTTTCTCTAACAGACAAATAGTGTGCGCTGAACAAGTAGACATTAAAACTGTTTTTTTATTACCTTTATATTTACTTAATATTTTCATTAGCTTGTGCATTACGTACACACAAAAAAAGATGCCGCTGGTATGATATGTGGTTTTAAGTAATCATTTTTTGCACTGATTTCAAAAGTCCTCAAAGCCTCACCTCACTTTTTTACCATATTCATAAACAAAATCAACAATACTAGAAGCTTTCTACCGACCCAGCAACGGACATTTGGATTACATATTTTTGTTTATTATAAGGGTTATACTTTATTCTGTAGATGCAAGTCGCTAAAAACCAGTATTGTTCTCTCATTAAAACAGCGAGGTAGATGTGTAACATGCCTAATATTTCAAAGGATATCCCGAGACGAGGAATTGTAATTATTTACATCCCGAAGGACACATAACCAACGCATTTATCCACAGGACTGAGTAATTCAAAAGGGTTATGAGTTCAATAACTCACCAGACGGAACAAAACCTTGGAGAGTTGAGTTACTAAAGGGAATTAACTGAAACTGAGATATTAAAAAATGATATGGCGCTAGGAATTAAACCAACCTATCTCCTTGGAGTAAATAAAGGATCTGGTTCGAATTTCCAACAAATATCTCCGGAAGAAGATCGGAGCGTACAACGGTTGTAACGTCGTGATTATGACAATAAATATGAGCACAACAGTACGAACGATGTAAATAGTGCAAATATTTCAAGTGATTTTTTATTTTTTAAATTTGTTTTTTTCCGTTATTTCATAATAATAATAATAATACCCAAGAGCCATTCATATAGATGGTTACTGAGTGGAATTGTTTTAAAGGTGTGTGCGAGTGAGGAGGACGTAAGAAGTGCATATTATGAGGATATTCGGGATAGATATTGCTTGCCCCTGGACCTGAAGAGGTTAAGATTGTAGTGGTTGGAAATACAGCCAATTGGGAGTCATTTCCAGAATGTAACAATTTTCATGAAGAAGCTGTTCGAGTGGAACTTACTTTTTTACGAAAAGAATATGAAGAGAATGTGGCATGGCGGAATCTCGGTGTGAAGATTTGATTGTATGGTTTGTTTTGTTTTACGCCATATCAACACCTCAATGGGTTATTTAAAGGTTCCTATGAATAGAACATGTATTTTTTGCAAGAAATCAGTTTTCATTGATGCTTTTTTATGAAGAAGGTTTTTATCGAAAGTGATGGCAATATATTACTTACATTATTTGGCCTGTTATCCTCATCTTCATTGCCATATTCACATTTTGGCCGTTGTACGCTCAGGTGATTGGAATTTCGAACCGAACCCTTTATTTCATCCACCGGGGTAGATTGTTCTAGTTCCACATGCCATGCCTCTTCTGGATCTGACAGTTATTTCCCTTTAAATCAACTCTCCAAGTTTTTGATTCACCACTGATGTAGCTTGGTATTGAAGTCACAACTCTTTGTGTCTAACCAGCGCCTTTATCCGCTGGGCCATATGGAAAAGCGGTAATATTTTTTTCAAAAAATGTATTGCTGGTATTTTTTTTTTAATATATTGCTGGTATATGTACAATAAAATCGTCTTTTTATACTCTCATAGTGTTTTGATTCCTGTTTGTCAAAGTTATAGTGATTTTATTTTAAAATAATTCATCCGAAGCAGGGCGATAATGTAATTACCGTGAGTGATAGATAATGAGAATACTTTAAAAGGAACTGGGATCCTAATCTTAAACAGTGGATAAACCTCTACTCCTGATCAAATAATACTTTTAGAGGCTAACAACAGGACAGGTGTGGAAAAAACGAATCACTTCCAATGTCTCGTAATCGCTTTTGAACTCTATCCTGTCAAAGCTGTGAAGTCTGATTTGATTCTTGCAAAGATAGAGAATATCAATAGGAGCTAGGTATTTTCTGATGTGATACAAGGTACCGAACATTCTTTCAACATCTTTAGTGACGGTAGGGATATGAGTTGCATTTTCGGTCTGGAGTGAGCTTTAGATCCAATAGACATTCGAAGCAAAGTTGGGAGTATGACTATTCACCAGTACTAGAGGAAATTTAGCGCCTGCTATGTCGTGAGGAAACATTATTTTGAAGGTATTGAATGATACAAGCCAATCATTCTCCAACTATAGAAGAAAACAACGTTATTATTCACATATGCTAATACTACTAAATAATAATAATACTGATGATGATAATAATGATACCATTAATAGTAATAATAATAATAAATCCAGGGAAGGCGATCGAGAACGAGCAATTAAAAAACTTATGGGATTTTAATATGGACACAATGCGTACTTAAGGCCATCAAACTAAGCATCACCGTCGTTGATGTAGAAACAAAAAAATGTCTCTTCATCGACGTGTTTCTTTCTGGTAACCATAATACCAAGTTCAAAGAACTTGACAAGCTCCTGTTTATCGAAACAGACATTATATGAACGAAGTCTAAAGGGAGATAATCGAAAATATACCCTGTGTACTTGAAATTCATTCGGCTCGACTAAGGGATTCGAACATTTGGTCAGATTTGGGGTAGTGAATCGGACAAAACTTTTCATAAATATTATCTGCTAAGATAAGACATGTTATATAAAATTATTATGAATCATTAGATAAAGTAATTATGCAGGATTATTATTAAATAACTAATAATAATAATGGGGAAAACTCTTGGCACAAGGAGCAGTCTTCACTAGATTTTAAAAGCGGAGTCCAATAAATTTGTTTAAAAAGACAATATCCAAATCCCCGAGGACGAAGTCGACTCCTTGAGTAATCTACCACTAAATAAATATTATCTGCATATTTCTGAGATGAGGTATTATATACACTATTTACATTATTCGAACTGTTGTCTTCATCTTTGTCGCCATATTTATTACAACGTTTCGGCTGTTGTACGCTCCAGCCTTCTTCAGGTGATTGGAATGTCGAACGGTACCCTTTATTTCGCTCACTGGGGTAGACTGTTCTAGTTCCACGTGCCATGTTTAATGGATGTCTGTTATCTGTCGTCATCTGTTAATTTACCAGTCCTCATCTTCTTGATGTTATTATTATCATTCTTATGATAATATCAGCAACAAATTGCAATATGAGAAACGGTTAAAAATTGTTGCTGAAGACATTAGGTTTATAATACCCAGAAATTCATACACAGATGTCCCCAAGGACACATGGCACAATGGTTAAAAGCGTTAGTTAGATCCAGTGAGTGCGAGTTCAATACCTGGTTAAGGCGAGAACTTGGAGAGGGGAATTAACAGGAGATAACTGACATTCATTAGTCGAAAATAAAGGATAAGTTCGACCTGAAGAAGGCCTGAGTGTATAACGGCCGAAACGTTGTAATAAATATGGCGACAAAGATGAGGACAACAGTAAATAGTAAACAATATTATGTTGCGGTAAACAAGTTCAAGGTTAAATCAAGAAAGATCAGTTGAGAAATAAAAGACAAGAACGGCAATATAGTAACGAAAAAGACAGAAATCTTATAAGGAAATGGGCCTAGTTTAATGAGGACCTCTATGTTGATGATACGAAAGATCGATCCATAAATGACTCACAGAAAGAACAGATTCTATCAGTTCTAAATAGTGAGATCTCTCATAACTAATTCGAATACATCAAAGTAGTAGTATAAATCTTATGTTCAAATGTTCCTTAAGGAACTGTGTCCCTGATCAGACCGAACTCATAAACAATTACGTTACACCTACCCGACACCAGCACTATTAGGACCCATTTATACACGCATAGAAACCTATCAGGCTCCATCTGAAACAGTAGAAAATACAAGTATAATAGCCTAATCCACATGTAAGATTTAAAAAATTGAAGCCCTTATCATAAAAACTGAAAAGCCAAGACTCAGTGACATTATCTATGAACACGGCCACAATGTGCTAACCTTGTTCGGAAAATAAAACATTCCTACAACTTTAGACACATACATAAAAAAAATCCCATAAACTTAATTAAAAATAAAAATGAAAAAAATCGCCCTTGATAATGGTTGAAAGAAAAGACGAATGCGTTCGGATATGCAGAAAATTTGGACAGTATTTACAGTTTCTGTCCAGAAAAGAAAACACTTGTGTGAACACAAGAAACATTAAATAAAAAGCTTAATCGCAGTTACTTCTGCCTAAATTAAATATACAATATATATATATATATATATATATATATATATATATATATATAGTTATATATATTCACAAAATAAGGTATGCTATATTTATTGGTGAAAGTGCTCAATATCAGGGATACAGCGACGATTAGACTGACAATTGCGTTTAACATGAAACAAACCGTCGCCTCTGGGTGTTAACTTCAATGTCCACTTATATACAGATATACACAGAAAGACTTATATATAAAAGGAACTGGCTTTCGTAACCATT